ATTAAACGTACATAATTGCTGGAACTTTCTGTGTTTAATACAATTTCTCTTACACAAAATGAATATCTAAACAACAAATGCAGAGGCATACGCGGATATATTAATAAACGTTGTATTTGAATAAATGTATTTATGTAGTTTAAACTATAGATACGGAGAAATAATGTTATCATGCTTGTGCAATGGGAATGGGCGAAAATAGCGTCAGAAACTTATTACATTATCATTCATTATGAATGGGTACCATACAATAACTTCTTTACACCGGACAAGAGAGAAAGATGAAAGAACGCCAGGTCCTTTTCATTTCTGCGTTCTCAACAATTACATTTTTAATTGGATTAATTAACTTAACCCAGCTACCCCGTTCATGTCTCTTTCTCTTTCTTGCTTCCATCTGTCTGTTTTTCTGCTCCACTTTCCCTTCCTTTCAAAGCGTTCTTTACGCATCCTTATTCTTTATTTTCTCATTCTGCTACTGTCTCAAAACGTTACAATAGCTTTTCGTTGCGACTGCATTCGTATATAATTTCCCAGGTCAGAAACACAATTAGCAGAAACGGTAATGCAGTTTTTGAAAAAAAACCCAATGAATCAAAACACGATCCTATTTTTTATCGAACTGTTTCGTTCGAGGTGGATTGTCTCATTATTTGTAAAATAGATTACAGTTTCACTGTTTTGCGAAATGTAATATGACCTTGACGAAGAATAAGAAATTTGTTGTATAATAAAATGTAATTAATACAAAATTACTTTCAATACACTTCGGTACATTCCATTTCCCATTCACATCATCTGGAATTCTGATTCAATCAGTTCAGTCAATATATTAGGGGAGCGCGGAGAAAATCTATTATTTATAATCTCGACAGGAAGCGTCACTTATTTCCTATGAATTTTTCAATATTAATCCAAAGTGTAATTCCCTTCTTTTTTACGATAGATTTCCATCCAGTGACCCATTTTCCAAATTCACTTTTTGCATTAATATTTAAAAATCTACATGAAATAGAGTGGCTAAACTGTTAAAACTAAAATTAACGGATTTCCTTCCGGTCCCTTTAATGAAAAGCAGTTTTTCCAATATTATTTCACCAATGTGATGCTACTACACCTGAGTAAAGGGATTTGGTTAAAAGTATTATTCACTTTTGGCCACTATCAGTTCTCACTACGGCACCCAGGCCTCGGTGACGAAAACGTCGTTATTGGTTGACCAGAGAAAGCTTAAAAAGACTTTTCGGGGCCGAGCCTTCAGGCAACCGACCAGCGGTGAGGTGGAACAATTTTTAGACCTGGTCTAATCTAGACTATGGTTTCAAGGAATCATGATGGTGAAAGTGAGATACTTCGATCTGAAGGGCTGATAGAACTCGAGGAACGCCGGAGCGAATCATTGTACACTGGTGAAATCCATAGGTCAAGGTCTGATCGGGGTAAGGCTTTTAGCTAGAACTTGGCAACTTTTGGCCAAAGTCAGATACAAACTATGATATTCAAATGCCATAAAAAGACTGAAGTTCATTATTCACTCAGCTCACTGAAATACACAACGGGACTGGGTATTAATTCATATACTAACGATTTTAGTATACATATGGAAATTATTATGTTTCTTTTAGGTCTTCTTTGGCATCTCCTAGTTATTTTTTAAACAAGTTTTTATTTATTTCCGTCTCTAGTATAACTATAATAGTAAAAGTAGGGTACTGCCAATCTGTTTAATTTAAGCTTTTACTTAGTTTATGTATTTCATATGCGTATTCGATATGTTGTGTAAATATCTTTCCTTAATTATTTCGTCTGCCCGTATGACTATACTGCTTTCGTGTATTGCGCAAATGGGCGGCCATCTAGTTGTATACTAATCAAACTACTGTCAGCCTAATTAAATAGATTAAGGGAAATATATCATATTACATGACCAGTTGCTAATTACAGAGTCACACACTCTGATAACAATGTAATTGATCGTTGCTAAATCCTTAATGGAAGAATATCCATTCTTTATTTTCATCTTAATAGTGAACATCAAATGTTTCTACGTAAGTAATTATTATTTATGTGCGGTAAGCAATAATAATCGAACATATAATTTTCAGAAAAGCTTCTCACTGACACATTCAACTCACCGTGCTACCTTCTGGATAATTGGAATCCAGATAATCGGCGTTTCCATTAATCGACGCTTCAGTCTAATGAAAGTGGAAACTCCTACTGCGTCTCTGGAAAATTTTACTTTATAATTTCCACAAATATGCGTCCAGACGTTTACAAATTACAGTAAACTTCTTGTTGGATTAAGCCACGAAAAATCATAAAATGATAAGTTTGCAGCAAATATCGAACAATATATTGATATTAGAATTGCAAAACATTCAATTAAAGTAGCACTTGTAAATTCAGAATAATTCCAACATGATATGGTGAAATGATTTTGTTTAATAAATATCTGTATACACGAGAGTGTGGAAAAATTAAATATTTGAAATGTTGGCTTAGGTTTATATTAATTTGTGAATTTGAGAGTTTCCATATAATTGGAGTGTTCTGCATTGTTGCAAGACTCTCATTATTATCAAATCCTACTAATGGGTAGAGGGATGAAAGTGTGTCAGGAAAGCGTGATCCGTATCTTGTTTAATACGTATACAAGACGGAAAGGGATAAAGATTAATCATTGTAATATAAATATACATTAAGTATAAATTATATCTATTTATGAGATATATATTTCACTTTTGATTAAATCGAAAATCACAATTAGTAAAAATAATAACATTTGAAATGAGTTTTTATGCAAATACTGTTCTTCAAAATGTTAATTTACATGGATATTTACAGCTATGAAATTGAATAATCAATGTTCATGTGCACATTTGCAATTTATTTGAGTGCATAGTCTTGTCATGTATGAACTGTAATATCAGCTATGATAAAATATGTAGTCGTGACGATTATCATTTTAAATATATGGAATTGAAATTATTAATAATTACGTTCGTGAACTTTAAAATATATGCATTATGTTTTGAAATATCATTTGACTTTACATTTCGAACAATTAATTAATTTAAAATTAATAAGAAACGGACAATATTGAAGTTTATTAAAATGTCATTGCATCGTACATGATATCCAAATTGTACTACTTGTACAGTAACATTATTAACACATTCTGTGCCATCGGAAATTTCGGTTATATCTTGCTTACAAAGTGCACTGATTTTTTAAATGGTAGATTAAGTTACATTCAAGCTTTTGCTGACTTTTAATATATTTTGATATTATTTCTTTATGTTTTTCTTGTTTCGCGTCGTGTATCAGTGTTCTTTGACACATGCCTCACAAAAAATGTTTTTTACAAAAATTGCGCGTGTACCATAAATGGTACAGCGATTTTTTTTCACTATTTTCTTTATATTTTCACTGAGAAATTGAAGCCTTTACTATTACTGACTACCGTTGCACGCAGGTAACTACTATTGGATGAATTTGACGGGCAGAGTATGCCATAATTAGCACTGACGCTATCATAACTAGCGTTGTCACGACCAGTCATCTTCCAGTCGTATTCCTGCAGAACAGGCAGATTGTTAGTTACGCATAACTGTCTACGTAAAATGAATTAAGGGCATATAATTTTGTGCAAGAACAAAACTTTTAACAACCAATTTAGAATGGTTTCATTCACTTTCTTCATATTATGAAGAAAAACAGTTTACTTCGTCGTATTTTAATTAATTATCATTTAATAACAAACAAAAGAGTTTTTTATACCTAAACCTTTAATAAATTATTAATTATTTCAAATTGAACAAAAGTAATATTATTTTTCAGTACTCTAATAGAATGTTTTGGAGATGTATATTTTTATCTGCATAACTTCTCTAGAGATTTTATTATATTGATATATAAAGACGGTATACTAGTCAAATTTTTAATAAAACATTATTTATTTAATCATTTATTTATTTATTTATTTGGTGACCTCAACAAATTATAATCCGATACGAAATAGTGTATATTGTACAGTGATAACAATAAAGTGTTTAGTTGATATTCGATTGTGATACTGTGATATCACAGTAATATTTGAATTAAACCAAAAATTATAATCAAATAGTACAAGATAAAAGAGTGTGTTTTTCAATGTTTAGATTGAACAGCGTATTCGATTAATGTCATCGATTAAAGAGAATTAATTTTTTTAAAAGTGAAAAATATTCCACTAACTGAGCAAACAAAGATGCATTAATAATGCATTCAATGAATTCATAACGATATTTTGCAACGAATCAAGCGAGAATTTACAGAAATGAATGGTGGCGCCATTCGACGACAATACTTATAACCTTCTTCACAAAGCTCGAGACTTTTAAGTCTGTGATAAAGATACAAACTTATCTACTTAGATTTTGATGTGGCAGATTTAGAAGGATACCTACGAACGTTACATATTATCGAAGTTCTGTAATTGACGGGAGACAAAATAGACTGGTTCATATCTTATGGAATTTCATCATGCTCGTTGCTCTCACACTTCCAAGTAGCAAATGCCTGGCACGGCATCCCGAGGTCAGTGCACTCGCGAAATAAAAAATTACTAGCTACTCACTGATCACTGTTCGCAATCGGCACATAGCTGAAATGTTCACCATTTTACGATATTGAAGAATCTTTAAATTGTGAATGTGTTTCAAACGATTTTTACACTACATACATTTCATTGTATTACAACGAATACTACTTTATGATATATTATTAGACATTTGTTCTATTTACATAAGCAAATTTTTATTAAAAATAATCAATAGAAATCGAGGTACGAAGAAAGATTTACATAATTTCTATTCGACTACGGCCATTGCTCTTTTTAGAAGTATCAGAAATTCTGGCAGCCATTTTTTAAAGATATATCTTTTATTTATTGGTCATGCTCAGTATTTGGTAACGTAGTTACCAACTGCACGTTGAACTTCGGGTTATGAAATAAATCAAATATCATTCATTTTTTTGGTTTTCTCATGCTTTATTGGATTATATGAAATTTCGAAAGACTAGATTATATTATTATTATTGTATAACATGTTAAAGGACCAGAGGTCCTGATCCTGCATACACAATTACCAGAACCAGATTATTCAGCAAAGGTCAATGTATTTCCCATTCCAGATCGAGAATTGGCCACAACGTTATCCGTAAACCTAATATTTACTTCCGTAATTGCCATATTTCCCGTAAGGAATTGAGCCAGAGTTTCTACACCTGATCGTGGTCGGCGATCAAATGGATATCCCATTGCACGCGCATCCGGATACTTCCTGTCTCTCACACCACAATAGCTATCTGCAGCGGTACAACCAGTTGGCTCTTCCTGTTCAACCTAAACATTGAAAAACACACACTCTTTTACCTTGTACTATTTGATTCTAATTTTTCGTTTAATTCAAATAAGCGTTGTGGTTTAAAATGTTTGAACTTAACAAAATGATTGAAAACTATTAACACTTAATTAGAATTACTGCGGTACAGAGTATAAAATATGGTTACATAAAATGTACTCACAGCGTCGCCTCTGTAATCTGATATCATAACAAAAAGCTCCATGGGAAAACCTCCTTTGCTTCCTTTGGGTACCAACATGTGTTGTGGCCACCCACATCCACAGAAATTGAAAGTTGCTGTAGTTTCGGGACTGATCAGTACATTCTGGTCCAAATTTCGGAACGTCCTTTCGAAGGGTATAGTTACCGAAGAGTCTGTTGATTTCCGCTCAATTGTATTTTGTCCCGGCCGCACTGTAATGTAACAGACAACAAAATTAGAAATACACAAATTTTCAGTTTAATGCATAAAAATCTAAACTTCAAATGAGAAATTTAATGCAGTGTAAAACAATTGAGCATGAACATAAGGCATAATGAAATATAGAATGTATTTTACGATCTGTTGTAAAATGCAATAGAAAATGAAAAATAATACTGCATTCGAATAAAAAATCCTTGTGATCTTAAGAACTTGAAAAAATATGACACTGGCAACACTATTTCACACGAATGTTTTTCTTTAAAACCCCTTTAAATTTATTTCTTAAAGATTTTTATATGTCATTAAAATAAGTTGGAACGTTTCGATATATAAATTTTGATGATACTATCTTTGAAGTATTCGTAAAGGCCACAATTTAGCAGTTTACAAAGCATAAGCTTGTGCATAAATCAAAGTATAATGTATATGCAATAAAAGTAGCTTACTTGATACAGAAAATTTGTCCATTTCAATCATTAAATTCTTTTGCTGTGTGAAAGTGAAAGGTAGTCCACGTTCGTCTTCCTTAGGAGCCATGAAAATGCGCACTGTTCCCCTTTGTGTTTTGTTGTTGCGATTGTTGACTACAATTTTATATGTAAAATCGGAGTGATTCAGGTGGGTGAATTTAGCGAGTACCGGTCCTCGAGGAGTAAAATCAAGTCCACGAGACAAATCTACGACGCTCTGAGTCCAAAAAGTATTCAAAATGTTCCGTTGCTGATTGGTCGTCAATCCAATATCTTCGATTTCAATGCCTGGATAATCCAACTATAAATGTTGCCAAAAAGTGCATAATTAATGGTAATATTTCTTTATATTCAACCGTACGTTGTCTCTTCAACAAAATAAAATCAATAATTCTTAATTATCTTCATTCTTTTCGAAATTTACTAACCTGTTGTTCAGAATACTCTACCAGAGTATTTTTATGTTCTTGGAAAACATCATCAACGAAAGCATGCCATCTGTAAAATATTGGATCCCTCATAGCAGTAGCAGAATCGCCCATAACGCCGAATCTTTCCTAGAAGTAATATAAAAAGGAATCGTATAGTTCAGCACTGATAGAATTAATATCTATAAAGTTCAGTACTAATCAAATTAATATCTATAAAAAAGATGACTAACATAACACTTACTTCATAGTTTGAGCATTATTATTATAGTAGGAGAAGGAGAATATTTTATATGATACGCAATATTTTTGCTACATGAACAGCAAAGAAGCAATGAATCTAAATCAAATCACGCGCACGATATATACATTCGGATACGTTCATCTCACTCGCACATCTTTTAAAACATTCTTTCGTTACCAAGCATTAATTTTACGTACATTTGGAATATTCTATATAGATTCGTTTAATATGAACATCATTGACATATAAAAATCAGTATTACAGACAATCAATTGAGTCTGGAATATTCCAATGACTTGAATATTTATTCAAAATACATGCACACGTATAGCTTATCGTTTATGGATACATTCTGTCCCACATTATGAGTGAATTCTTTGACTGGGACCGCAAAGCAAATTTCATTTACACTCAATTCAATTTTTACACCATATATATGTGGAGTGCTAAAATGAACGAACGTAGTCAGTCGTAAAACAGCGTCGAGACGATACAGTCGAAGAGTCGATATTCAAGTCAATACCTCAGACGGAGGATTATTGTAGGCGTAATTATTGGAATTAGTCTAAGTCAGTTAATAAATAAAGTTAATATCATTGCTTAATATAGTATACAGCTAGCCTGTTATTTTAAAGCCCTATTGCACAATTTACCCTCCCATCTCGTCTCTGATTTCCTACATACACATCCCTTATAAAATAATTTATGTAACCGAGTATACTGTGTCTGTTGACAAATAAATATTGGTTCCGGACATAAGAAATTAGCAAGACAATGTGAAAACCACTTGAAAATTCGTATTAGATTTGGATAATTGTGTGAAATCGAATCGTGTAAAAAGGCAAAGGTAATTCGTATCAAATGAAAATCGTGCAAAAGCAGAATTAGGTGTACAGAGAAAATATTAAAGTTATTCGAATGAAAGACGTTTACCAGGTAACGATGATCCGGATCGTGGCAATAAGAAATAGCGACGTGTCCTAAATTATGAAGATCACCGTAGACATTTTTATTCGGGGACAAAATACTGGCTTCCATGATATTTCCTAATATATTGATGCCATCCTTTTCTGTCAAAGGTACACGTTCACCTGCCATGTTAATTACGGATCCAGTATGAATAGCTTCGTATATGCGATCACGCCATCTCTCCAAATCCTGAAGATCGAAATCCAATTGATCGACCGGTCGATTGATATCTTTAAGCACGGCACCGCCTGGACGAGCTGGCCACGTGCGACCAGCAACAAAAGAATCCAGTTTTGGGAAATAAGCTTCGGGTATCGGTTCACGCCAGTTAATAAACCGTTTCACACGACTAAGTCGGTTACACAAACGTTCGCAGTTATACCTGAAAATTTGTTGCCAGAATCGAAAATCAGATTTATTTCTTTCATTAATTAATTTCAGTCTAAAATCTAATCAATGACCACTATACGTACCGTGCCATGATTTGTTCATGCATATAGTAAAAGAGCTCTCCGCGGCGATCCTTGTCAACCACACTAAGGTTCCCCTCAAATGGATAAACCAAATGCCAGTGCCAATGGTGCAGGTTGATACCAATGTCTTCTCTCCAATATGCAACACGATGTTCTTCGTCGAGGTCAGTGGCAGTGTAATCTCGAGGAATTTCAATTGGAATCTACATTCAAATAAAACATTTACACTTTGAACGTTAAACTTTTAAAATGTTCTCTCATGTGTGTATCGTTCTTCTTAATGAGTAATCTTTCCACAATAAATATTGTGTGACGACGGTGGAAAATAACTATACGTTATCGTCGCCAACATTGAAATAAGATCGTTTATTTTATAAGAATAATAATTATTGATTTTAAGTAATGGCAAACTTCAAAAATTTCATATACGTACTCTTGATCCTGGGTTTACAATGTTAGCTTCCTCCTTAGCTCTACTGAAAATAGCACCATCAAGATATTTGTCTGGAAATATTTCAGTCAATGGTGGTACTGGCAGATCCTTCGTGTCAGGGCGATGCAATATCGCCACCGAAAGAGCATAAATGAACATGCTAGGGTTTACGCGATCGCGACAGTAAACTGCTACAGACAAGAAGTCCTCGTAAGTCCTCATGCCTGCAAAAAAATATTGCTATTGGTTGGCTCTAATGACATGTCAAGTTTTTATCCAACTATACGCATGCAGGTTGGTAACTATCATTGCTCAAACAAGCTCATCCTTTCTTACTCTCTCCTCTCACTTTTTATATCAAAGACACGATAAATTGTACAAACCCAAGAAGATATCGATGAGCCGACCCGCTAGTTTTCGATGTGCAGGAATAAATAGTGAAAAGGAGTCATGTCGTCCCAACTGCATAGGAACGGTAAGATCTGGAAGCGAAATCTGTTTCACTTGAATCTTCGAGTCGGCCTCATCGCCAAAGCGGTTGAACACTTGTGTTGCCACGGGGCGGTACCTGTCTGGCTAAGGGATCAAAGTATTTCCAATCAGATATTTTTATTTATTTATACATAAGTATTTGTCTCTTGAAACTTGGGAAATTCTTCGATAAATTTCGGTTATATCTTGCTTATAATGTACACTGATTTTTTAATGATAGCTCAAGTTACATTCAAGCTTTTACTGACTTTTAATATACTTTGATATTATTTATTTACGTTTTTGTTGTTTTGCGACACGTGTACCAGTGTTCTTTGACACGTGTCTCAGAAAAAATGTTTCTTCACAAAAATTGCGCGTGTACCATACATGGTACACGTGGCACGGGATGTGTTAAATAACACTTATTGCGATTGCTCTCTTTTAACACACTGACTAACGAGTACTTATCAAAATCTCCTACAACCAACACAACTTTTTTAAACAAACGAAAACTGAAAAGTGAGAACTCTTCATGGTGATTAGACAGATGTGTGCGTTTGAATGATATTTCGCGTTTGATAGGTCGATCAAAATACTGTGGGATGAGTGGATCATCGTGCGTGCGTGCAGGCGACCGGGTCATGTTGCGACGGACCGGTGCCAGTATGTTTTGAAAAACTCGAGAGCCTGGAGAAGCGCGAAACCAAAGTGTTTCGGACCAAGCGACTGGGACCGTGAGAAGGAAAGGTGTACGTAACCGCGTGAATTTTGACTATGGACGAAAGGTTAGGGTGCGAGTGAGAATGGTCCAAGTGTAAAAAAGAAAGAGTGAATGGGGTATGCTTTAAAAGCAAGTGAGAATGCATGGGGGAGAGACTTTTGGGTGCAATTAGCGAGCGACCGATTGAGTGCGCGTTTGGGGAGAGAATCAACCTTCAATCAGAAATATATTTAATATTGTAACCAGTACAATTATTGATAGAGAATCAACTTCCCCGTTCCTCAGAGAATCCTATAATACGACTCATATAATACAAAGTATTAAAAAGGATTTGGCAACGAAATTTGGAGGATAGAAATGAAATGTTAACGGATCAAAGCTGAAGTTACGAAAGACATTATTTATACAGAACAATTCTACTTTATGAAGTAGACAAGAAGTCAATTGAATGTAAGGAGTTACCGAACTGATAATTTTATAAATAGGATAATTAATTTCTGAATCTTCAGATACTGCAAACAGATGTGTGGATTTCATATCTTTTTAAAATATTCGTATTAATACTGTTTATCGCACTGTTTGCTGTGAATGCATCTGTTGTTTTAGGGTTACATAGAAGTGAATAAACAATGAAACATAATGGTAAAGAATCACTTACCAAGTAATCAGCTGGTATGTCAAAGGCGACTTTCTTTTCACCTTTAGGCACGTAGACTGGCTCAGCAGGGCGGTCAAATAAGTATAAAATACCCGATTTATCGGCAGTCATATTTAAAAATTTGTTCTTCTCACGCAAACAAACAGACAAATATAATCGAGATATATAATTACAGACTAACAGAAAATCGGACTATTTAATGATATGTAAGTTTATAACTGTGTTTTATTATGATATTAAAGTATAACGAGACGAGAGAAATGCTTGCACCTTCACGATGGAAAGCGGTCTTGAAGAAAATGAATGGAATACAAGCTATATATGCAAAATGTTTCAGGAAACAGTGGTTTCATAAACCACAACATCCGTTTCTGCTGTCATAGCTAAACAAACATGTTTGGTTACTGATACAGCGTTCACCGAAATCCGATTGTCACAAATCCTGTTTACGAAGGAAACAGGTTACCACTAATTCACCACAAATGGTGAATTACACGTGAAAAATACTTCCTCTTCTATGATGTGATGTCATTCTTAAAAGTGAGACATAAATATGTGTCTAATTTATACAATGTAGCTATTATATTAACCCTTTGCACTCAACGATATTTTTCATTACAAACACTCATTACTTTCTGATGAAATATTAACAATATTACTTGCAATTTACATAAAGAAACATATTGCATAAACTGTGGGGCACAATTGTTTTGTTTCTATGTTTCATGTGGTAATACCTTATTCAACATTTTATGTTGAATTTTTTATTTTATAATTTTGCTGCGTTCAATCAAGTGGCACTTAAGAGTCGCCTCTCGAGTACAAACGGTTAACGTATTCACATCGACAGCTGTTTTGATTATGTTATTTTACTTCTATATATTAAATACACGTCATCTTAAATCATATTGTCTACTTTAAGTTTGTATTATTGTAAAATAGAAATACGATAAGTTAACGAATATTTAAATATCTTTATTAGGTATTTATAAAATATTGTAACACTTAAAACGGTTAATCAGTAGTGAATTTATTTATAATTTGTAAATTTAATATTGTACAATTTTTAAAAAATTTGGATTATTTTTCAATTATATTATGAGAAGAAGATTACGTTTACTGAAAAAAATATATTTTAAGGAAGAGTCGTCCGAAGACTCCGTGGCGCAACGGTAGCGCGTCTGACTCCAGATCAGAAGGTTGCGTGTTCAAATCACGTCGGGGTCAACTTCTTTTTTTTCATCTTACCCTTTTAGTAATGCTTTATTTTTTAAAGTAAAAACGATCGATATTATGAATAAAAACAATTGTGAACGTTAAGAACGATAGGTAAATCTGTATTCTTAAAATTCTAGGCAGAAAGAAATATCAAACTGTTAGTAAATTTAATTATTTATATGAAAAAATTGTCACAATATAACTTGTTCTATTTAAATCGTTCATAAAATTCTGCAATTTTTTAATTTCCATTAAGGAAAAAGATACTTATGAAAAATCTCTTATACGTACCATAAACAGAAAAAAGAAAATAATCAGAACAATATTACTCCTAACTGGAAGAAGCATAGATATTGTCCAAACGAAAATTGTATAATCTGGTTGAAGAAACCAAATATAATAATAGTCTGTAAAGGAAATAAGAACTCAGTGGTCAAAGCAGTATACAAGGTAAGGATCGAACTAAAGGGTGTCCAAAATGAGTCCTTTTAATTGTATGGTTTTGAATTGAAAATAAAACAACACATAAAGGTAATAAAGAAAATAATTTGTTTAATAAAGGAAATTATTTTTATAACGCAATGATGCATTTCGAAAATGTAACTATACCTGTTTTTAATGGAACTGCATATTTCTTACATTAATCAATGTTTCGAGCGTTCTACGTACAAAAGTGTCCATCTAAATTGATTACGAAACCATACAACATCCAAGATAAATGGCATAACTTATGACTCACTGAGAAAGTTAACCATTATTAAGCTACAGTTCTGTCTACGGGTAAAATGAAAAATTAGAATTGAGTTGACGTCAATAAGTAATACTATTTATTGAATGTTCAGGAAGCGGAATAGATCACAGAAAGCAATGGTAAGAAATAATCACTAATTTCTTGGAAGAACCGTCTGTATTATGTATGTATATTTAATTTTCTTTTTTCTTTTTTTTGTGAGACAACCCGTGTCTCCCCGTGCTTTGCACGCTGTACAATTCTTCGGATACGGTATCAGCCACGATATAACATAATCGTAAAATCAAAGAAGCGTCGAAGCGTACGCATTTAGAGCGTCGAGGCCAACGAGTTAATGAAAATAGGAAAAAAATAGAAGGATCGGGTACTTCGGCCAGGACTGTACAAAATTAAACGTCAATCGATGCCGCAGTTCGATGCTTTGCTTCGTGACTTTACTCGCTATATCATGGTCATTACCATACATCGGTAATATTTCATAATATAATTACGACAAGTATAGGACGGATGATTTCACGAATTTTAGGCGAACGATTATACAGATTTCGAATTTGTGAAATCATCCCGGGGTCGGCCGTCCTCGCAGCTGGTACAAAAGAGTGTATTTACAAACGAAAAATGTAGGCTTGTGTGTTCCATATGATTTCCTTGCACGTGCAAATCTCAACATTATTGCTCTTTGCGGGAACAGAACGGAACGTGCTCAACGAAACGCTGTACATTCGATCCCGATTCGTTTAACATCAACGAAAGGTGAAAAACTCGTGTCGCGTTTATTAAAGAAACTTCGCAAGAAATTGATTTTTTTTCTCCCTGAGTATTCAATGTTCAATCGTACTCTGCGATCATACAAAATTAGTAAAAATCATCGAAACTAGTACAATCCAAATGTAACACATCATAGTACCAAATAATACTGTTATGTCACACAACGGGTGGTACATTTTTCCGTGATAAATACGTGAACCCTTGTGTAGGTAACCACCCTCATATTTCTATTAACAAGTTTATAGCTTCCAGTGAGAATTTCATTTCGTACGAGAGAAATTCAAATACGAATTTACATAGAAGATTCTACATATTAAAGTTTCGACAATAGTGAATATGTCACCCGCATTAACATGTAAATGCTAACCCCGGTATTAGGGGTTATTTCAGAATAACCAGGAAAACAACATTAAAGAACTAGGGATAGTGAATGTAAATTTCGATAATGAAATGGTGTCAATTACACAGACAATTTCTATTGACCGCAAGCGTTACTATCGAGCACGCTTCACGCGAATGAATGTCAGCGACCCGAGCGCACCATTTAAAAAATATAAACGTACAAATCTTTTTATTCTATGTGCCGTGTTATGTACACCATTGCGAGATATCGATACAACAATATTCTTATCCCGGCATTGCTTATTTTTATTTAATTAATCGACTAAAAAACAATTGGCACGAACCATTTAGCGATGGAAATTAATTGATCATTCGCATTATACCAAGGACCCTCGTAAACATCACATCCATTGAATTTTCTATCACCGTCGGTGAACAGTGATCTATCACAGAGTAACGTATTATTATAGTAACGAAAACACAACACTCGTATTTCATTGTTGTCGTGCCCTATTTTCTTAATAATATACAAATATATCACGTCAAAAATCTATTGAAACGTCAGTCAGACCTTTAATAGACAGATTCGCCCACGTACTCTACTTTACGAGGATTGTGACAGATATTTGATTCTTCATTATTAGTGTTGTTGTTGTTGTTGTTGTTGTTGTTGTTGTTGTTGTTGTTGCTGCTGCTGCTGTTATTATTATTATTAATAGTAGTATTATTATATTAATATTATTATTGTTAACATCGTTAAAAATCGAGCACTCTGTAAATCATAATGCTTGGTCTGCTCGCGTTACAAAACTTATTACGGTGTTCTTCCACGTTCATAGGTTTTCTTGCACAAGTTTATGGTTCTCGTTATTTTCCACGTTATTTTATAGGCATACTTGCGTAGTATTTATCGAAGTACATTTGTAATGCTGACACAGTTCTCACTGTCGATCATTTCAGGTGAAAACTATGATACTTCCGAACTTCTACATTTAATTCATATTGCAGATGCTTCTTGCACGTCGTTCATTATAAAAGTACATATTTCAAATGTACAATTTTTATTCGTAAATTGAAGGTTTACACTAATACTTGTAGATTTAGTACTGATATTACTGAATTAATACAGTTGTTTGATATCTCGCAAAGTCATTAATATCCGATTGAAATCAAACGAAATTATTCAATGATACAGTTATTACGTGTTTACAAAGAAATAGAGCGTAAGAGAACTTTTTCATTCGATTGAAATTATACGAAATTGACACGTGCCAGCAGAATGCCCTTTCTTACATATTTTTGTAAATTGTTATTTGTCAACAATTGACGATAATCGCGATGTCAATTATTTTCACGTATTCTTATAATGAAATACAGGTACCAAGTGACAAATAACTGCTCATTGTCTATACGTATGTAAGTAAACCAGAAACGGATGTCAATGTTTACATAAAAACATTAAATCTTCAATGGACAATTCAAAATCATTGCAAGTATTCAAATAACTAATTGAGTAAAATATTTATCAGTATACTACTTTCAAGAGTCTGCTCACACCTAAAATGCTCCAACAGGTAGAACTGTTTGATGCCGGATCGAAGAAGCTTCAAATCTCTGATTACATTGACGATTAATAATGACTAATTATTCAATATCAATCACTTGTGCGTGTCGTTACGAATGTTCTGATATAACGAAAGCGGAATTGTTTCAAATGCCTTCGGGGTGGTGATTCACTCGAGATCGTATGAATTCGTAAACATACTCATTACGACCATATGGTCTACAGACAACGATCGTCGATGTTTACAAAAGGCTCTGTGAATAATGCTTCCCTCACATCTAACCACAAATGATAAAACAAGAAATGTGATGTAACTGATTAATGGAATTTTTTATTATATTCCGTTCGAAAGAAGGCCAGTGAAGATAATCAATAATGATGAAAACTCTTCGTAATTTATTCACAGCCTTTTGAGTAAATTGTACGTTCTCGCGAAATTGTTATCTGATTAATCACTGAAATGTAATTAGTGTACTTATATTTCACGTCGTTCATATCGGAATTATAAATTACAAAAATTGTACATGTACTTTTGTCGCCATGATGGAATGAGTATTTATATTGTCGCAAAGAACTCACTCGATCAAATATGATCATGAAACGTTTGATACCATTCGAAGTGTATTTTGATCATTCTTACAGTTAGGCAAAGTTCAATGTGTTTCAGAGTAAAGTAATTTAAAAATAATAAACCCTCGAACGTTTCCTCAAGCAGCTCAAAGTTTTTAATCCTACAGAATTGAATACTCGATAATTTGCTCGTTGCGGAAGAGAAGCTCGAAAAATGTACAATACACTTTTCAGGTATAAATGTGTAATAGATGTGCGGAATAAATGTGATTCGTCTGGTAATGATGCAATTATTTGCAGCGCTGGAACTATTCCTATAACACAATCCTAAATACTGATACATATCAATTCTAAGGTATCATTGTGTACAGCCATTTAGAAACGAGCAACTATAAAACCAGCAGTTTTGTCAAGTTTGTCCCAATATCACACAAAATCGGACGGAAAATAATCCTTGGCGCTTGAAGTATGTATATGTAACGAGTAACCAGACTGGAGCGTGAACTATATGCAATATTCAAGATGATGAATAAGAATAACATTTTTTGGATTTGTGAGTATAAAATTGTTAAAATATTAATTTCTACTAATTGTAAAGTAATCAAATAAAATGCATAAAATATAAGTTATTGTCGACTTAATTAACGGTAAATGTTAATACACAAACATGAATACAAATTGTCTTAGATAACTGGAAACACAAGAATATCGCCGAAATGTACGTGTAGAAAAATTATGTAGGTAGGTGTAATTAACCGACAACCAGTCGAGTAGTCGGAAAACCCGCTAATTGCCACTGAAATCCGGCTTGTGGAGGAAAAGAAGTTCATCGCCTAGAAATTAAAGGAATTTACATCGGCTTAAGATTCACACTTTACTTATATTTCTTTCTAATTTCATTTTCTTTGTCCATTTTTCTGAACATACAAGGCAGGTCATGTTGCTACAAGTCATAATGCAATTCAATTTCGTATTATTCTACTTCTTACTTTTTATCCAGATAGAGTGTTTTCATAAATATTTCTACAAAATGGATCACATAATTTATCTATAATATATCAGTTAAAATGCTGAATTTTCCAAATATTGAACGATAATTATTGACCACATTACGACTTTGCTTGTTAACTCAGCGATCGTTCCTCTTTTCCTGTAGAATGAAAGATCAATCAAATATCAATTATTCTCATATTCTAAACAGCAAGCGAGGGTTAAATTCTTAATGTGTTTACCCTTTATGATTCCATGTTGCACTTGAATAAATATTAAACTCAATAGAATTGCTATGTATCGATATAACAGTATATACGAATGAATTTCGAATCATTCGTAAGTATACCGAGAGCGGTCAAACAATGTCTTCGTATCATTGTTAATTATTTACTTGTTGCGCGAAAAACATCGATAATACATTGAAGGTTATGCGCGTATATATGTATAGCATAATATATAGCAAAGGAATTCGATGGATTGGAAACTGCAATTGTCCAGTCAATTTTTTTATCGATCGTTGGTGTTCGATACCACTTTCTGTTTCCTAATATTATTATATTACATTTATAAACTTCTATCATATTTGTCGACATCAGTAAAATGGTTACAAGAAGATCCTTGAATATCATTACACAGAGCTTATCTTTCTATAATACTCTATTGCGTTTGGCAGTCAATTGGCAATCCCATTAGTGAATATGTCATTCACACGAATTACCGCAAAGCGTTATAAAAATATTCGTTGATAATAATATCAGCCATATACGATTCCTTATCCTGCTATCTTTAATACGCTAAGGTCCGCCACTGATTCTAATTACATTTTCTCTAGCATCATGTGAAATTTTTAAGTACAGAACCTTTATTACATGAATTTCTAATAATAAAACAATTCCTATAGAGATTCAGAGATGAATAAAAAATGCTTCTACTTTATGTGAATTCAGTACTTCAGCTTCAGATTATGCATATATAAAATAACTATAAGAGGTAAATAAAACAATACAGAATAGAAAGTACGACAATTCATAAAGAAATAATTTCATTAAAAATCTTAGAACAATGAAACATCTAGCAAGTTTGGAAAAGAGCTTAGGTGTTTCAAATTGCAAAGAAAAGCTGAAATTTTGCTTGTGAAATATAAAATTAACCAATACATACCTAAACGATTTCAAGTAATTTATGTAAAAAAATGGCATAGTTATCTTTGAGTAGAAAATATGTTTCCTGATTAAGTGGAAAGATACAGGTTCCACAGTATATAAAAGTTCCAAGCTACCATACAATAGATGCCACAGTGAAAAATTCCTTTGTTGCTATAACACACTCGTGTAGTTAGTATCATGAATTTTCATAAAAAATAGCCATTGACATAGAATATTCTACTGAACACGATCATTTAAGTTTACAATTGTTCCTTTTTTCGAAAATCTGAAAATTCAAGGCGGACCAACTATGTATATCTCTTTACACAGTTCTGCACAAATCAAGTGTCATTTTGCAGTGGCAACAAACACAAACGGATCCATAAAGTCATCGAATCAGCTGGACGTCCCTGTCTCTAATACAATTACAACAGACTTGTCGCGATACATGCGGAACATTGAAAAATCTGCGGATTCGTTTACACGTACTTTATAAGCGATATACAAACATTCTTCCAAAAATACAGTGTATCGTTGAATTTCAGAGTCTCGCGTAGAGACTTTCTGTGCTATCCAGGAAACCCGATGGAGTGAATTCGTTTGACCCTGCTGAGATTGATCGGTTTTCCTGGTCGTTCTTGAACACTTGAAATTTTTACCTCCCCTCGTGATTAGAAAATTAAGTACGCGTCCTTGTATCGAGAAAACCTGACACTAAATACCGGAAGTGACGATCGGATTCACTGATTCGCTCGATTGCATCGCTTGTCGGTGGCTTCCATTAATCCATCTGCCAACTATTGTCGTGATATCGAAATTCCGTGTCGTATTTTCACAAAATTTTTTAGCAATAAACTTCTGAATTTGTGTTCATGAAAAGACGATCAAACACAGCGTTTATAATATAAGATAATTATGATATATACACTATAATACTTATAATTATAGTGTAATATGATGTAGACCTTTTAAGTACGTTAGACAATTTGTTTTCAAAAATTGTCAGAGCATTGCTGTTTGATCTTAGTTTCACAAGAACAATTCTCTCTAATTCATTAATCTTACTTTTATAAGGACAGGACAGTAGACAGACTCTTTAAACATGTAAAGAATTGAAAATTTGAAATTGTTGAAAACAGTATTGTCGATAGCACTGAAAGCGACAGATTCTGTTTATGCAATATGAATGTTTCCGTCATTTGATATTGAACTGTTCCTCAAATAGGTTTTCAAAATATTTGAAATCATATTTTTCGATTTTTATAAATTCGAATTTTGTTTACGTTCCGAATCAAATGTAATTCCATTTAACTATTTATTGAATGTCCACTGCCGGAAATGAATTTATTCTATTAACGTAAATAAACTTATAATACAAAAGTGTCATTTATTCGACAATAAAGTAATAAAGACTTTATTGCATAGACATGATATTAAAGATGTCGTACAAAGAAAGTTTCGTTTCATATAATAAAAACAGAGTAGCTAGTATGAAAAAGCTAGTACAAATGTAAATTTAGGCTACACAATCATTTTCTGAAATTTAGTCAACTTTAATAAGGACTCAGTCGGTACAACATTTTATAATGAAGTTTACAATTAAATCAAATTTCCTTCTATAAGAAAATACTAAAAATCATTGTAACCTTTAGTCCCTAAACGTTTATAATTCTTTAAACAGATAATTAAATAGAATCAAATTAGAAATTAGTAATTCACTGGCCACGAAAACGGGAATTAAATTCAGAGACAATGGATGCTGAGGAACGATAGCAACAAACGAACGATCCACCCGATGCACATCAATGCCACTAGCAACTTGGCGATCGTCATTTCGATCAGAATGTAATATACAGTTAGCCTCTTCCAAGCGTAGCACCCGTGTACGGTTGAAAAGTGCACAGAGGCAAAGGGACTCTTTCCCTCACGCTTGGACCGTCACGGCTTTCGACGCATGGCCATTATTGGCACGCGGCAATAACAAACAACGTAAGCGAGCCTGAATACGATGAAGCGAGACGTAACGATAGAAAACAAAATTCTCTATATTCCGTCTCACTCCGTGAGCGGAAGAGTTTCCTTGCCGCTGTGCACTTTTAACCACTTGCGCTGGAAAGACGTGCCACGCACGTTGAGACGTTTCTGTCGCAAAATTCTCAATGATGTCTTTCACGCATTGATAATCTTGTTGCATTACGCCTATTAGATTGTTTCGAAATATATCACTCTACACAGAATGATTAACAAACAGAATTGCTGTACATATCAGCGTAAAATAGGTAAAAACAAAATTTGTCGCGCAAGACTTTACCAAATCTCTGAATTCATTTCCAACGCAAGTGGTTAAACCTTACGCCAGCACTACGCTCGGAGGAGACGAACTGTAAATAATTAAATACGTTTAATACGGATCGTCGAATGATACTCGTGAAAAGTGATATGGCTTCTACGAAGATGCGAGTTTCTTGTTCCCACTGTCATGATTCTCCTATCGTGAAAAGGTAGGGGGTCGACGAAAGCCTTCGTCTCTCGTCTTTTTCCTTCTCTTTCTCTTTCTCAATCTAGGTAATGTTTTATTAACTGGAGTGTCTACTACAGCCCTTGGACGGATGGTTGTCACTTACGAGAGCGATCCGATTCGCAACGATAACTTTTTTCTGTTCATTTTTCATGAAATTCGATCGGTAAAAGGGATATAACCACTTCAAATATGCTTCAAAGTACTTGAAAAAATAGATATGTTAAATATAGTGTTACATAATTGAATAATGAAACTTTATCAGTATGTTGCACGAATAAAAATGAAATAAAAATATGTGAAAATTATTTATGGTATCTTGACGTGATCATGTAGGTACTTAACAGATCATATTTAATCATTTCAATTTATTTATTTATAGATTCTAGTACAGTGAATCTAATTATCTTCGTATTTAATATTCGTGTTAATATCTTAATTAGTTAAAATATTCTCCATCATACGTCCATGTAACACGTCTTTAACTAAATTTGTGTAACTTGATATAAGCAACGTTTAAACTTTTAATTTGAAAATCTTAAAAACATGTAAATACATTTCATAAAACAAACTGGATTTGGATAAATTAATACTGAAGTAATTGCTGAACTATCGCGTTCTATATAAGGAATTATTTTTTGTTATAAATTGTTTTACTTGAAGAATATTTCTAAAAAATATTACATAGTGAATAATTCCATTTAAAACAATCTGTAATTTAAAAAGTTTTAAACTTATGATGGCATTAATCATCTATAAAGTAATTTTGTATTCAATTTATGTGACGATTGTATCTTCAGATTATCTTCAGATTCCATCAGCAACTCTTTCACGAAGATCGTTAGAGTCACAGTTATCGTTGCATTGTTTCGTCACGCATCGAATTCTCTCGATTAAAACGTGGCAACCCAATGTTACAATCATTACGATATGCAACCTGGAGTTATCTATATCACGATGGACGCCTAAACGCTGGCCTCAATCGTGAAAACATAGAAATCAAAGTGTCCCGGATTCGTTCAGCAAATCTGAAACCGTCTATGTAACTCGCTCGAAATGGTCGATACGGGCGATTCATATTTACAAAATGGCGATGATCCAGTCCTGGCGCACGCTACGCCAATAAAAAAAACTGTTAGCTACTTCAACTGACCCGTTTCTTTCTGTTCGCATTTGCCGACTTCGCTCAAAAATGTTGTCTGCGTCTCTTCGGTGTATAAATAACTATTAAAAACCAAAAAGAAAGGAAAAAGAAACAAATAAAAAAAAAATCATCGTTAGCGTTCATCAAGGTAAACAGCTTCTTCTTTTGATCGGTTTTTTTCTTTTTCTTTTTCTTTTTCTTTTTCTTTTTCTTTTCCTTTTTCTTTTCCATTGAAAATTTGATCATTGTTCCTTGTCTTTGTTCGATTTTGTCTAATAATTACTCCTCGCTCGCCCGAAGAAACTTTCTTGAATACTTTCCGAGCACAATCAGATCACTTAACATAATCTAGCTATCATATAAAAGATAGGACTATCCTTTTTGCTACACTTCGACTGTAACTTCCCCCGTGATTGGAAATTGTAGAGGATTTCTGTCGGGTGGAACGGCGGTCGTTATCCTCGGATTTGCGTGACATTTTCATACCGAAGCTTCGAGAGAAATAAATAATTATTGTCGAGAACTGTAATTCGTCCGTTGAACATTGCCCCCGATGATCATACGAAACACGAAACGAGTATTCCAGTCGCTTCTCGTCATCGTTCTGTTTAGGCTCGTGCATCACTCTAGCTATACAACTTCACGAAACTAAAACTGTATCACTTGGATCCACGGTTGATTTAACAACGTTTCGGTTCATCGAAATCGAACACTTTCACGGATGATTCTCCACGTTGTCTCGAATTGTCATTTTTTAATATCACTGTCTCCTTTGTTTCACGCTACCTTTTCGAGGTACCACTTAAAAGTCATTCTCTTCATTGATCCCAGACTGTAATGAGACACTCGAACATCACATGCCCGATTCCGCAATTCCTTCGTCATCTGCAAAATCGAAGAAAGACTCGTTAGAATGTCACATTGGGAAATGTTATACACACTATTCTCCGATTATGATTATCACCTTGACCAGCTAAGAATGTAATTATGTTTATTAGCTTGAATCAAACTCAATGAATGCGATTATGTACATAAACTTTGGATGAAGTTTGAGAAATTTGAGGAAAATTCTATCATATGTGGATGATTCTTTGATTAGATTTGCGAATTCACTTTTTATAACACATTAAATGAGTAAAAATTCTTTGAGGTGTATAAAATTCAACAAGGTTAAAGGAATTATTAGTATAATAAATCTTAAGTATTTAGTTTTTGTATTATGAAGCAGATTGCTTTGATTATGCTACAACTGCTGGTTCGATATTTAATGTGTTAAATAGGCAAAAGTTTAAATCTACAATACAAATATAAATATAAGTATAAATATAAATATATTGATCGAAATAATCCCACTGAGTCTTACTCAACAATATTTGAATGTTTATTGTTGAAGACCCACGAATAAGTATTATTCATTGCTCTATGTCCTTTGCTCACATTGTGACTATGCTCGACCATTCTTTTTTTACGTGTTCGTTAAAACTTGATTGTTATAAGATAAGACCGGTATATTTTGTTCGGTTTTAGAATTTGGGCATGGCCATAAGTGTGACTTAACCGAAGAAGAGTGTGATGTGAAATTAAAATCATGCTCTTTGACTAAACTATTCGCACTGATTGAAATTAGTAATAAATATGACGCAGTTAGTAAATTGCGTGAAATGTTATGTTCTGTGAAAGTAGTAGAGACTAAAAAGTGTGCATGAAGCGATAATAAGCGGTTGACAATAAAGGATGTAATTGTGCGAAATTAGGGAATGTAGTTTTTTTAATTGTTACTAGACACCGAATTTTAATTGGACGTTGTATGGATTCAAGTGTTCCCATTAAATGAAACACTAAAATTCTAAATACTGGTCTACAAATTTTATTTCCCCTTTTGCCACAGAAGGTTTAATGGATGATCTTAATAGTATTTCTTATGCTGAATTCGAATATGCAATCCGTTTTTTCTCCATCACCTACAGTTTCTGAGAAAATTAATTTTGAAAAGAAAATTTAAATTTTCAATTTTTAACATTTTGCCTGTCTAGGAATTAACTTCAATTTTCAAAATTTTAGTATGGAGATATATAAGTACATTAACATGAATAGTATTACTCTAATGAAAAAATATTTGATTGAGTTTGGTTGAAACATGTAAGCTATTTATTAACTAATTTAAAGAAAACATTATCACACATAATTCACACAGAAGTATATAAGTTAAATTCGTTTCGTAATTATTATAAATAGTAAGAATAATATAATCAGCAAATATATAGAGATGTATATATCTTACAACGAGATAAGGAAGCGGAAACTAAATGATTAAAAGGTACTGTATATAGGTAATTAAAAATAGAGTCCTAATTGTTGAGATATTATAGATTTTTAATATAAATTGCACGGCTATGAAAGAAATATCAATTTCATACTAATTTATTATTTTTTATTATTTCCAAGTTATTATTTTCGAAATAATTTAATTATATATAAATTTTAATTATTGTGTTTCAAAATGTCGTACTTTAAAATTATAAATAAACAATTTCATTGAATATAAATGGCAAAACATTCATATTGAAATAAGGATATCGATTAATGTAAGAATTTATCTTTAAAATCAAATTGTTTACATGTTTAATGGAAATGAATGAACGAAGGTCACGAGTTTCATACTAATGGATCAATGACCGGCCACGTGACACATGCTACATGCTTTAAAGTAAAAAGCAAGGATCAAAATTACCATCACCACAGGATTCACAGTTCGAAGGTCACCTTTCCTTCTCATCCTCTGCAGGACTCTTTGTGTTTTCGACCGAGCTTCGATTCTTGCCTGGATTCAAAGGAAGTACAAGGTTGCAAAAGGGAAGTGATTTCTACGTATGGATGTGACACAATTTACCAGAAGCATTTTTACAATGGGATACAAAACCAAATATAGTATACCCCCTATTTGGTATTGCGGATTTTCGATATCAATTATTGTACTAATTTGTTATAAAATCTGTTTACATATCTGGCTACACACATTTATGTAACCAATAAATATAAACATAATATTTTACATTTTGTATTTTTTATTTGTAATTAAATAATTTAAATAACCTTGTTACAAGTATGTTAGCTTCATTGTATACAGCATTCTCTCTCTATACCCCACTTTTTCGACTTTATATTTTTCAAAGAAGATGTTAGTCAATTCGTAAAATTGATAAAATTTTGGTAAAAAGTAATTCTTACAAAACTCAGACATATATTTACTTATCTGCTATTATTTATATTGAAAAAAAAGGAAATTGCTGAAAATAAGAGAAATTCGAATATCGACTTCCGAAATATACAATAAACTAAAAAATTTTACTTGTATAACAAACCATTTTATAATGTGAAGAAAAAAATTGCAGTTTTTCTGAATTTTTCATTTGTGCATCCACATTTTACACACAAACATAAAAAACAATAGATTAATATTTAAACCGAAAAAGTAACAAAAATATCGGAAAGAGAGAGAACATTGCAATTCGTTGGTATAGTAAAAACCATAAAACTATCGATAGTGAAAAGTCACCATTGTTCAAGCGTTAGAAACCACCATCACCACCACCACCACATGTTTCCTACTTTTTAGTTACAAGATATATTGCAGATATTTACATCTAGAACTGAACAAACTTCAATAATTCTTAATATTTTAGACGAACACCATATAACATTATTATAATTATATAAACGCTTTTAACATGTTTGTAATCGTTAAAAGCATTTACTTCCATACTGTGCCACTCTGGAGTAATTCATACACTATAATTTCCCTCTGTGGACACTTTGATTAATAAAAAAGGGCATCTAACAAAATAAGATGATGAAAGATTTACACTTTAATTTACACTTAAATTCATTTTTATCACATTTGATCCACATTCAATACCACTTACACTTATATTCAATCCTTTTTTATAAATGCCTGACTGAGATAGAATAAAAAAATTAAATCGTTCATAACTTTTCGAATACAACACGTTCACTACAACCATTTGTTTTGATAACAACACTCATAACTAGAATATTTCATTAAATGCAATATAATCTGAAATATAATGAAGAAAGTAGATTAACTTCCTCAGTTCTAAGAAATACATTATAGATTTCAATAAAATTGCACGCAAAAATAAATTTTGTCTTTCTGATAAGTAGAAATGTATAGTGTTGACAGCGAACGTGTTAACTTAAACAGTCCTGTATGGAAGGAATAGTCTGAGTAGTTCAAGAGGTAACCACAGGAGACAGAACTGACCTTCGAATCCTTGGTTGTCATGGATCTCCCGAGGAGGCCCAGTCATGTCTTGGCCTTCCAAAACTGCCAGAAGACACTGGTGTATGCAGATGTATTGTTGCTCCGTTTGGACCATCCAAACGCGCTCTTTCCTCATTGCCCAGACAATTCCGAAGATATCGACATACTTGGACACCAGAATCTGCTGGAGAATTCTGTCCAACGTGATGAAGGTACCGCTGCGCCCAACACCAGCGCTGCAGTGCACAACAATCGGCCTCTGATCGGACCGAACTTTCTCTCTAAAAGCTCGCACAAATCTGGCTAACGTTTGAGGTGGACTCGGAACACCAAAGTCAGGCCACGTTGTAAAATGAAAATGTTGTATCACCCTCTTCACGTCACCCTGTAATTCAAAGATATTGTATTATAAATCAGCTTCATTCCATTAACGATAACGTCCGAACCGAAACTGATTAAATAAATGTAAAATATCACGTACAAATTGTTTCTTAATTATTACTTAATTAACAACATTTAAAAAAACGGAATTTTAATAGAACTTGAGGTACTGTTTTTAATTATTATTAATTTTTGTATTACTTGATTCATTAAAATAAATTAGGTACTAAAGATTTGGGACTTTCAGTATTTGGCATAATACAATTTAATGTTATATGATTATTCTAATTTATATTATAAATTATATTTCATTATAATTATTCAGATCTCTTTAAAAGTATTATTAACTTCATTTACTTTAGTATTTCATGAGTTCAATTTTGCATTTACTTACTCTACACAACATGAACTCTGTGATACTCCAGTCTGGATAATGTGTCTCATTCAATATTGTGACACAAATATCTCCATAATAGACCGGCAGGGTGTCCATTGGCCAATAATGATCACATTTTTCCCTACCCTTCTCGATACATCTAGTCAACATTACAATCGCTCTGCTGTTGCTTTCCCAAACCATTCTCCAGAAGTCGTCGCGCGTTGAATGCAATGGCCCTTGAGTAACAATGAATTCTCTTGGAGAATTGTGACCCTGTCACAGAAGATGAAAATAATGAAAATAAGTCTATTACAATTTTATTATTTCTTACTTATGGGGTTACATTATCAGGTCACACTATTTTTCAGCGAAATTTAATACCCCTTTCATTGAAAATGAAAAATCTACAATATTATGAAAACATATGGTCTCATTCACGAACATTCTAAATTATTTTCATAAGTATAAATTACAGAAGATTAAAAGCATTTTAATTTTATATAAAAGTATAGAGAGAACGTAGACTTATACTGCATTTTTTGTTGATGAAAGACAATAATAATGTTTTGCATTCTCTAACATATTTGCATTTTTTAATTTAAATAAATATTCTTTTCGAAACGCAGTAATTAAAAAGATATTATCAGTTTTATGAATATTATTGTACAATATTATGGTAGGATGAATATTATTAATAAACTTATCTCAAGGTTTCAATGATAGAGATTCAAAAGGTTTAGAAAAATACAAGCAGTGGTACATACGGGAACATAATTAGCGTTGATATAGTCTGAACCCTCCTCGTCGTCCACAGGCTGGAGCTTAAATCTACTGTGATCGTAGGGCAAAATGTTCGTAAAACGATTCTTTGGTCTGTTGCACGGTAAATCTGCCGCTGTGCAAGGCTGGTCCCTTCCAACGTGTTTCAATTCTTCGAACTCCTCCGAGAAACGGAAATCGGAATCCGCGGACATTGTACGGTAATGCTCGGAGAAGTCCTCGATTTTGATTGGTCGACTGTTCGTAAAAGTGGGTGTGGAGACAATTATCCTGTTGTTTCTTTTAATCGTATTTCAATTATATTTACCTAGTCTCAACTACGCTGTCCGGTAAAGATAAATTGTCTGTTGTTCTCGTTTCGGTCGTTTTACGACCTTGGCTTCTTCGTCTTCTCACCAACAACCCAATACCCAATAAAGTCAGTAGAAGCACTATTGGAACCGTGACTCCCACTATAATGGCCGTGTTATCCTTATCTATGCAAACGAAGGTAATAAAATTCAAGATGGATATATTAAGGACATTAAATGTAAACTGAATCATCACGATGGATGGCAATACACATATTGTATGTAAAACAAATGGAACTTTGGTATATGGGTAAAGGAATTCCTTACCTGCCAGCAGCAATCCTTAGGCAGACATGTATACGAAATAACAAGGCATGAATTTAGCAAAATTCTAATTGCTACAAGTTTCAGCGTAACTATTTTTCTATTTTAGACGTTTATAAGCACAAAACGGATGAAATTTAATATCAATTCTTTTATTTCAACTTAGAAACTTCGAAAATTTGAGAGTAGAACTTGATTTTAATAATCAGTTCCAAATTGAAATTTCTATTAATATTATAGATTACAAACCAGTTCCAAGTATTTAAATTTAAAAATGGATCCAACAAAATAACATAAACTATAAAAATAGTATAGAATAAAAAATAAACTACAAGCGGTTACAAAGCCGAAATTCGAATTCATATTTCAATGGTCAAATGTACGTTCAAATATACCAAACTTCTTATACAGCGCATGTTACATAATTGTTCTCACCTGTTTGAATTGGAAAACTATAACTCGTATCTGTGAATTTATCAGGTGCAGTAAAAGCGCGAACTTTCACCCGATATGTTGAACCGGACTTCAGTGGTCCATTGCAGTATCCAATTTTGTTATCACAATTCTCACTGCCGATCGTGAAGTCTTCTACGGAGCCATTTTTAAAAGGATAATAAGGTTCCATCACCTGTTAACATAATACAGTTTCACACATCATATTCTGTAAACTGTTACTATCTTTCAATAAACTTAAACTACCTAACTGTTAACGCTAGATGTCGAATAATTTAAGCATTTTGATGCTAGAGAATCGCTACAACCATTGTGAGCAAACCTGTTTCTAAATGAAAACTATCCATTACCTGTGTGAATAAATGAGTAGCTTTTTCAACCAAGTCCTGCAGCATGTTCATGGTTTAAAATGACCATATTCACGAACAGTAAAACAAAGTGGAAACTCAATGAGAATAAAATGTAATAACGTTCACAGCATATTAACAACTTTCACTCTGTTTATTCACGCGTGTTACAAGCACTTGAAACTGATTTCTTTTCGATTTTTTAACTGAATACAAGTTACTTTCTCTCATATTATTTTTCATATTTCTACTCATATGTATACGAGTCTGATATAAAAATATCGTCGATTTAGTTTCTAAACGGTTTGTAAACTCATTCAACAACTTGTATCACGCGCGTTCTTCGACCGACTATTGCGTTCTAAAGTGTACCTAATGTAACCATTGCCAATGCGTGGTTTCGAATGCATGTATTTCTTTGCTGTTTGCGTTCTACGCCCGTGATCTTGCAAGTTAACGAGTCACTCGGCGTAATCGCCGCATTAATTATTTCACATTTCTATTGCGATATTAACTGATGACGCATTTGCTCGTGATCGCTTCATCTTGATCCGGAAAGATGAAAGATTCAATGTAGTTTTTTTTAAGATTTCCTAATGCAGACCGAACCTCGATTAACCGACTTCAATTTTGACAGGTTTCTGTTGGATGATAGTATACACACTTTATAGCGCATGTAAAATATTATCTAAATTTCTAGCTTCTAGATGAATGTAATTTGAAATTTTTTAAAATACGTTAACAAACTGGCATGCTTGCGTCGTGAAACGAGACGTCTTGAATTCGGTCTCATTTGACAGAATATTTCTTTTCGATTGAACGACAAGTATTTTACGTAAAAACAACTAAATCAATAAGTACTCAAGAATATGTTACTTAATGTTTGAAGTAACGTTTAAATAAATATTGATGTAATACTGAAATTTAATTTTAAAATTACTTTCTTAAATATGGTATTTTTCGACAATGTTTACTTTTCATTGCAAAGTACGGTTCTGTGAAAGCTGTTGTTGAAATAGAAACAGCAACCACTTGTCGTAACCATCGTAAAAACGAAAACTTTAAATGAAATATAGAGAAATTAACCAGAAATACCTGACATCAAATATCTACATTTTCAAAACTATCGAATAACCGACTTAAAATTCTATAAAATTTCTCACCTGATACGGAGGCCAAATACTGTAAGCTTGGACGTCTCTCCAACTAGGCATTTCTAAGCCAGACGCGTTCTTGCTGTCATCCTCGGCCACGATGATGGTGTAAGATGTAACTGCGCCATTTTGCTCACTGAAATAATTTTTCCTGAAGCGTATCTGAATCGTCATACTGCTTCTGCAAACCTCTGTTGGCACCACTTGAGTGGGTGGCTTTGGTGGCGCAAGAATCGGCATTTTTTGCTTCCAAATCGCTTCAGGTCCAAAACCGATTTTCGTTTGAGCTTGGATCCGAAAGATGTAGGTTTTTCCTGGTATGAGAGTTTTGATCACTCCACGGTACTCGCCTGGCTTGAAGTCTTGCATCTGAGTATGCGCTGAACCCTGAGGACATGATAATTTGAATGAAATTATAGTTCCACCTGTTTAAAATATGAAAATATAACGGTTTTATTTAATAATAATAACATTTCATTGTAAAATATTCAAATAGTTCGCTAACTTTAATAACATGAACAGCAATATCAAGATAAACTTACTTCTAGTCCATAGGTGATAGTGTATTTTCTGATGATGCCATTTTGCTCTTGACTAGGCAGAGACCACTCGAAGCTGATGTCACTTGGCTGAATGTCGGTAGGATGAAATTTTTCAACTTTTCCAGGATAAGATTCGCTAGTGGTGAAACTTGCACTTAGAGGATTCGAGACTCTGAGATAAGAAGACGCTGTGCCCGAACGGACTATCAGTGTAAAGGTGTAGTTTCTATGGGGTTTCAGATCGGAGATGGTAATCAAATTCATCGATGTGATGTTTTGAATGTAGTTTCCTTCCGTATTTATATATTGAACTTCGAATCCGTCGTATTGCCCGCGTGGAATATCCCATGTCAATGTGATTCTGGTATCGTTAATGTCTATAGCCTGGAGTGCTGTGATCGGTTCAGGATCTGGAAGAAAATTTTAAATTTATAATTAATTCTATTTATTGAAGGTCAGCCTAATTTCTTTGATACTTTATAATATTATAAATTATTTTTATAATTAAAATTAATATAAATGTAATTTATAATATTATATTTTCTGTCTTCTACAGTATTACTGGTTCATAGCCATGTGTTTGTTTGTTAATTACATCACCATACGTAGTATTGAACATTACAAGCTTCCACCCTCATTTTGAGAAATACCACGTTCTCAAGTGGAATTTCGTGTACACACGTACCGTCTCGATGTACGTTTCAAGATTTATACAAGCCGCAATAATACAAGATTGCGTGGCGAATGTTTAAAAACATGGAGTTTTGTTTTTAACATGACACACTGAGCTTTATGTAAAACAAAATGTTAAGTGAATCACGCTTACGTGCTTGTTCAATATAGTATTCCCTCTAATGGTGGAATAATTCCTAATCAGATAACAATTCTTCGTTATAGGACCTATTGCAGACGCGTATATTATCCAAGAAGAACGGCAAATTAGACACACCAAGAATGAGTGAGAGGTAACGTTTACTAGAGAGTCATCGGATATTTCAAAGGCGTGGCAACCTACGTAACCGTCTATCAATTAAAATTCGTACATAACATTTTTCTTGTTCTTCATTCTATTTGAATGGAATTGTTATCACATAATTAGTAATTTCTAGACGGAAAATATGTAAAACATAATATGAACGGTAAAAATTTTATAAAACTGCATTAAAATGTACCATACTTTATATGAATATAACAATGAAATTTTCAATAGCAAATAATTATAAAATAAGTGTGTTCGTAATAACAATTGGAAAACTGCTTTATCGTTATTATTATCTTTATTATTCTTATTATTTAAATCTTATAAAATATATTTGAAAAATAAAATATTTGTTACTTATAAAATTCAATTCTATAAATTTGGATTAAAGAAAAATAAATATTTCGAACAGTACTCCAAAAATTGAACTTAAACATTTGAACCGAAAAGAATTTTACGTGGTATGTGATGTATTTTACTTAACACTGATCTGAGAAATTCAATTTTACTTAATGTGGCGTATATTTCTGAGAATGTTTTTGATATTGTCAAACAAAAGGCTGGTAGAGATTTTCGGATAACAGTGTAAGTATGTACGTATATTGAATCAAGTCGTGAGTCGTGTTGCGAGTCGTTCTTCGTCAACGCGAAATACTCACAAAGTCGGTCCTGCCTAAGCAGAGGTCTGCTCTCCACGTTATCGCTGACAGTCCAAACCGTCACGTTGTAGAGTTTACCAGGTGTTAGGCCAGTGAAGGTCACTTTAGTGTCGGTGTCGTCAACCAGCCGCTCTTTCGTCGTGTTGTTCTCGTCGCTAATCCGGAATCGATACAGATCGAAAATCGAGGACTGGATAGGTGTCGGTGTATACCTCAAGGTCAAGGAGTCCGGTTGATCTCGATCGACCACCACAACCACTTCCGATTGGATTAGCGGCACTGGATTTCAGAGACCTTGTTTGTTGCGTTCTGATCTTTGTCTTTAAGTAACTTTTATCACGTTTCGCTCTAACTAAGCCAACATTACGAGGCAAGACATCAACAAAGTTTCCCAATATACTTGGTGGATTATTCTAAATGAAAAAGTTCATATGGAGATATCCCAACTGACTAAAATGTGTGATGTAGCTACTGTGCTACCTTTGGGATAATCTTCTTAATATATTTATGCCGTGTATGTTGTCTATTCCGCTTTCTAATTGAATGAAACTGATGAAAAAGAGGAATTACTTGAAAAACTAAACGGCAACACTGCATGTGGTTCATACGAACTGAACAGTATGTTTTGGTGAAACATGAACTATGGAATGCTATTAAAAAATGAAACTACTATAACATTTATAGACCATATGGACTCGGCCTATGAACTATGGATTATGGATTAAGGATTCTGGATTGTGGACTCGTGTTTTTTTATGGATTCAAGATGTCAATTAAATAAATTATCAACTTTTATTGACCTTCGAGAATTAAAGATTTTACGAAAAAATAAGAAAATCATTCTTCACGAGAATTTGAGTTAACAAATTATAAAATATAACTAGCCAAGCATGTTAAAAAATTTTGTCGATGTTCTCCTGGGTTCGTTATGTATATCGACTTTCCTTAGAACATTAAGATACTTCGTATCAACAGCGACGGTTTCATAAGTCAAGATCGAATTAGTCTGTGTACAAGTTTAAACAATGACACACTAAACACACTATTAGTAATGAAAAACAATGTTGACTTGAACTTTTAGCGCGTGTTAGCACTCATGGTCAGGCGTACGGTTAAATGTAGCAGTTATACATAATATACGAACGTTTCAGGAAAATTTATGATCGAACGTACTTGTCCTGGTGGTCAAATTGGTGACATCACTGACCAGGTCGTAGGACACCGTGTAGATCATAAAAGAATATTGAACGCCAGGCATCAAATCGCTGACGAGTACTCTTTGCACAGCGTTCTCATCGAAAAGTACGCTGGACACGTCGTTGCTCTCCGTAACGTTCTTTGACCGGACGTCCTCAGAATTCTCGAACGGCCACCATCTTATCACGTAGGTCTCGATTCTGCCTTCCGGCCGTGGCCATTCAAGCGTCACATTCGTCGAGTCAATGATTGGAGTGATATTGACCACAGGATTTGGACCTGTAAGAAATCACAAGTGTTCAGAAATCTCTAAATATATATTTACGAAGCAAATGTAGAAATATACGAGGTGTTAAGAGTTTGAAAGTTTCAAAATATCAAATCTAAAATGAAAAGAGTGAAGAAGTCTGAAATTTGTAACTCCCCTTATCTGTAATAATGCAGATTCTACTGTTAAAAGTGTCTTCCAGTCGCTATTTATTTCATCTACTTACGAACTGTGTGATTCACTTGAAGAGGATAAAGACTTTCGACTCCATAACTAACAGTGTTAACTTGAATCGTGTATTTTTCCCCTGGAGTCATATCCGCCACTTCCGCTTCCGTTTCTCGGACACTGGGTAATTTTACCCATCTCGGGTCGTCTTCTGTTCGATATTTGATTGAAAATTCGGTGTATAATGAATCTGTCGGTGCTGCCCATTGAACGACAACGGTGTTGCTAGTTACTCTTTCGAAGGTTAAATTCTTTGGCGGATGAGGCACTGAAATTAAGTAATTATTTTAATAATTAGTCTATAATACAAACGTGTATAAAATTCTGCTTAAGAAATTATTTAAAACACTACATTCATTCAGACTCCAAAATCCAAAAAAGGAGTATGTGTTATAAAGGAACAGTTAAGAAAATATAGATTTTCATTCAAACTTAAAATTATTTAATTCACATAATACAGAATAATGAACTTTAATTATTTATAATTTCAAAATTAAACTATACTATGTATTTTTACATAAAAATAGCTGTTTAATTTTAATTAATATTATTTCATACTAATATTGTTGTTTAAATTCATGAAACACTGATATTTCTAATAGTTTTGTCTCTCAATAATTTTTACATTTCTACGCATTTTAATTTTTCAAATTTCTTCTTTAATCGTGCAAAAAGAACTAATAAAAAATTGTTTACTCACAAACAGCTTGTAAATAATCGTGCGGTTCACTTCTGAGGAAGTGACTAATGGCGAATACTTTGACTTCGTACGCCGCGCCAGGATAAAGGTCTTCAAGAAGAATGTGAGATTCCGTGGTCAATGTCGTTGCACTTTCTCCAGTATCATTTCTGTTGTGTGTCACTTCGAATTTCTCCTGCCTCGAATTCACATCGCTTTTCCACGAAATGTTCAGTCCCATCTCAGTCGGTTTCAGGTCCTCGATGATCGGACTCGACGGACGCGTAACTTGATAGAAAACGGTTTCATTCGATTCAACTTTATTACTAATTGCTTGTACGATTATCGAATAATTTCGGCCAGGTAATAGAGCTTCTAGCGTAACCTGAAAAGATATCGTAAATCAATAAATAATATTTTCAAAATTTTTAGAATATTTCTTTCATATTTTATATTTTGTTGACAATAATTTTCAATAAAAAACCTATTCGTAGAAAAATTCAAAGATTAGTGTTTCTATAGTTGTTTCTTGTGAGGTAAGTGGGAAAAAATAGAATCGAAAAAAACGATATTGTGTTCACAGTTTTCTGTATTCACATTGCTGGTACAGTGCAGAGAAATTATAATTGTTTGCGCTAATTGACCGCAATATTATAGTAACGCATGTTACATTATCAAACGAAAAACACTGTTCAACCAAAGTTGAGTTTGAACATTTTTAGAAGTTTCTTTTTAGAAGTATTGAACCATTTGCTGCTTCTACTATTTACTACTACATTGTAAACGAATATTTAATTGCTTAGTTACTTTTGTCTTATCGGTAGTCAACGTATTGCTATCACCACCTATCGCTGTTTCCACCTCGTGATACTGAAGCTTATAATTATCCTGAGTACTGGAATTGTCAGGAAGCCAAGAGACCTCCACCATACCAGTTTTTTCGTCGATGACAGCACGTAAATCACGTACCGGCAACGGTTCTGAAAATATTATTAAAGAAAATCACCATTAATTTCAATAATAATAACTTCTATAACAAAAGTCAATGCATAACTACAAGTTATCTTGAAATTTAATTATATGTAGAAACATAAATCAAACAACGAATACAAAATGTTCACAAAAGAAAACATTAGTAAACATAAGAGAAATTTTAGAAACATGTTTAAGAAATTCATAAATTATAACATATAATAAATAGTAATAATGCAGATATAAATTTCTTCAATTAGTCAAATCAAATTCTTAGTACAATTGCATAAGTGCATTACCAGGAAAATTGTAAATTTAGTAAATTATAAATTCAACAAGTAAGAATTAAAACTGTCTCAATCAAGTACTTACAATACATTAATATTTAATAAACATTTAAGTTCTAAAAGAAAAAAGAAAAAGATAGAAAAGATAATTTTATGATTCACATAATAATATGTATAACGTTGAGTTAAGAAAATATTTCAATTGTTCGATGGTTTACACAATACTGTGACATTGGTTCAGCCATTGTATAGAATCTAAAATTATATAACGCAAAGAATAAACGATGTACTCACTTAAAGTCACGTCTCCGCTAGCCGGCCAGCTAGTAACCTTGCCCGATACCGTTTTGACAACAACCTGGTAAGTTTTTCCCGGTTCTAAATCCTTGAATTCCCATCTTCTCTCGTCATCCAGATTTCTGGTGACCGGTGCAAGTCTTCGGTTACTCCCTAGCGATATTTGATACTTATCGAATTCGGACACTCCTTCGGGGGGATTCCAGAATACGCGGAAAGAAGTCGATGTTATCGAAGACTTATCGAAGGTAACATTCAAAGGACGCAATGGTACCGTTCGATATTGCGCTGTCGTAGGGGTTGAAGTCTCATCCTCTGACACCGTTTGCACGGAGATATTATAAGCTCTACCTGTAATGAAAGAAGAATAATAAATTCATTTAAATTAATGTATAACAATGTAGTTGTACACTAAAATTATTTATAATTACATAAAATTGTTGTTAAAAGTAATCGAATAAAATTCTAAATAAAATGAGATTGTACAAAACCCGAGTAAAAAAGTTACCTTCGGAGAGTTGCTTACACAACTTATTTGATCAGATTATAATAATTTTACAATATTTTATTAAAACGAAATTTTAATATAAATTTGTTTGCGTTTTAAAATAGTAAAGTAGAAAAATAAAAATAATTATAAATAAAATACCTATAAAAGAAAGGTTAGTAAAATAACGAGAACTTAAAATCTGCAGTCTATTCAAAGTAAGGTCTTCAATTAACCCTTCTCTAAACATTTATTCAAGTTACATTTGATTTCCTTATTGTTAAAAGCTATAATACTGATTTTATTATGTTTATAAATCTCTTACCAGGTACGAGTCCTTTGAAAGCGGCCTGCGCTGGCCCAGGTGGTTCCCCTTCCTTTTCTACATAAAGAACAGATTCTATGGCATCAGCAGGATCTATGCTAACTTTGTAATGAGTATAAATCCCAGCAGGATAGGGCGGCTGCCAAAGAACTAATAAAGTTGTTTCATTCCTAAACCATACAATAAACTTTCCAGGAGTGTTGGGCTCTAGAAAAAGATGAGAAGAAATATAAGTTAGATGTGCTAGATGCAGCGTGCGACATTAAAAATGTAAAAAATGTTCAAGTAATGTTTCAGTAATTAAACAGCTTAAATAAGTTTGAAAATATTCTACTATTTTATATTTCTGCAGAATAATGTATTTTTTAGGTGAACACAAATATAATACATATAAAACTGGAGCAGAAATGTACACCGCGTAGAATATCTCCGTGTTTTTATAAATATCAAAAGTTTTTATTTATATTTACAATGAATTTTAAATGAAACAATTGAAATAAACAATATCTACAGATCAATGAAGGCAGCATCAAGACATTATTAGTTATTACATATTAATTAAATTTAAGTGCCGTAATTAAAAAGACAAATTCATGTACGTATGCAACTAATCGAATACAGGTCTCAATAGAAATACACTGTTTCTGATGGAGGAATTTAGATTATATACAACTATTATTTACTTTCACGGTTAAAGTTACAAATGCTTCTAAACGCATGTTTACAACTGAAAAACATTAACAAAAGATTAAAGATAAAATGTACTCACTTGTAGTAAAATTTCTACTGGTATAAGCCACGCTTTCTTTGGTGTCTAACACGGTGAAAAGCTGTAGGGAATACGTCGCCCCAGGGATAAGATCGCGAAGCACATAAGGAACCGCATCCGCAGGGATCACGCTCGTTTTTGTGTTTCCGGTGTCGCTGAAACTTTGGACTCTCAACCGGAAGCCGGAATAATTTCCCTGAGCTGGCGGTGACCAATAAACTACTGCAGTCTTGCCATTCCATACCGCGACGGTCAAGTTTGACGGAGGATCTGGCGCTGAAAAAATAATCATATGCAAATCGATGCATCATTTACAAACAATCAACCATATAAAAGTCAATCATCAATAAAAAGGTCACTCAATCATTTGTTTTTTCACTTCACGATTATTTCATGTGTAAGCCGTTGCTTAGAAATGTCATATGAGACACACGTAGAAGACCTTAAACTAAATTTAATATAATATAGATTCTCAAACTTATTTGAATAAAAGAGAAAATATTATTTCCTACTAATGGGAATGAAAGAATTTTTACAGAAAACATACATCTACAATGAATATAAAATTTCTCTACTTGTGAAGAACTTACTACCGATGAAGTAACTATTACAAGTTTAATCATGAAATCAGTCGAAAAATAAGAAATCAAAGTAGTTTTTAGTTAAGACATATGAATTAGACATAGAAGAAAATACTCAGTAACTAATGAAACTATTTACTAAACTCATGAAATGCCGAATTACCTGATTTTGTACTTTATTTTCTTTAATGAAATATAAAGCAGAAGCGATTCTAAGCTTTCGAGTAATAACGTATGTATATCTGTGTAAATACGTAGGTGAGTACCATACGTACCTGTGGTTATGGAGGCCGTCCATGTTCGCCAATCGTGAAGTGTGCTATTACTATAATACAACCAAAATTCGTATTTAGTTCCAGGAAGACCATCCTTGAATTTGATAACATCGCCTATGTCTGTGGCGGCTATGGTGGTGTTCGGTGGTGGATAACCAACAGCAGGGCTGTAATCTAAACGATACCAAGAGCCTCCCTGGCTCAAGTTTCCTGGTATCTCAATTGCGAGATCGGCCGAATACGTTACCTACACAAACAGAATTAACGTGGTTTATCTCTTGTTTACTTTTATTACTTTAATAATCATTTTAATGATATTCTTTTTAACACTTTTGCTACCAACGTCACACGTTTCTAACGATCGACATTTTCTATTATGCATAAAGAGACATAAATGACTTTTACGTGAGTTTCTGTAAGCAATCATGAAGCATGAAACTGCTACTGACAAAACGAATGATGGTAACGAATGTGTTAATTATTTATTTAATTTATTTAATTGAAATTTTGGTTTTTAACATTTATTTAACGTGTATTCTCGTCCTCGCAACTTCACCTGCCAAATTGGTAGAATGGTACAATATTTACATTATAATAATTTTGACTTATTTTATAGAAATACATATTTATAAAGCACATTGCTCGCATTTCTCGCACAAAATGAAATGATGCGCCATGCGTATTGTCCTTTTACATTCATGGAAATGTGAGCTATGTAAATACCTAATTCCGTGAACAATTGCGTGAGATATAGTTGGGCATATGTGACGTGTCGCATCTTCTTTTCTGTCTCAATTTGATTTCCAAATTTTTACATTTAGATATATTATATACTAATGTCTAACTATACTCTGGAAGGACTGTATACTGAATGGATAAGAGACACGCAACAATTACAAAACAATAAATTAGCCACGAAAAAACTTAATAAAATGTAAAAATTGTGTGTCAGATTAACATACGAGAAATCTTTTTATAGCAACTATCATTTCACCCTTTTCTTGTATGTTTTACCATTAACCGTTATATGTACTATATTTCCATGCTAAAAGAATAAAAGTCACGAAATTTTAGACCTATCTTTAGATAATTGGCAAAGTAGTACAATGTTTTACTAGGAAAACGTAAAAGTTGACAGAAGAAACGGATTTTAAACGCGTTTCGATTCAAACTACTCGTTTTAATTGAAATTTTCGCCGCATAAATCAGTGTCCATTATGTGCATGGCGTTCTAATGATTATTTCTATTAATAAAAGTCAAACGAGAGAACATAATTTTTCTGTGGCATTTGAATATCGTCTCACGGCAATATCATGTCCAATGATATTTATAGCGATAAATACTGATGAAGTACTATTGCTGGTATGTGCACGGCATGCCGGAAGCGATGAGACGGACGTGGGAAAGAGGCGCGCCGCAAATCTATAATGCCGTTATACAGCAGTAACACAACAGCCTGTGTCGAACATATTAAAAACGATCTGAATTTTACCGTTCGTCACCTACATCTTGGCTACTGCTTTTGATAACAATGGGAAATACGTATGGCACCTTTGCAGTGCATACTTAGGACAGTTAGAGTATTTTAACGTTTAACACTTTGCGGTCGCACTAATAGTATACACAGTTGTCATGCTAGTTGCGATTAATTTCCATGGAATAGATAGTTGTGACATAACGCGTGACTGTAAATAGTGGGTAAATGAAATTTATTATTGTCCCCTGAGTTTTAAACGAATTCATAGAAAAATAGAGTTTTATTTTAGATGAATATCGGCTATTATAAAGCGTAAAAGATCTTTGCAGCTGGGAGCAGACATAGGGCTGCAAAGGGTTAAATATCTAGATATGTTGTAGGTAGCTATACGCTATTGGACGTATTTACGGATCAACCATGTATATTTACAATAGTAAGATCGATTTTTCTAACTTAAACATAATCAGTAACATATTGATGCTAATACAGACATCTAAAAACTAAATATATTATTATAAGATACAGTTCAATGAAATAACCAGTTTTATTAATTTTCTGACTATAGTGTTGATTGATTTTCCTACCATAATTGTTGCGAAGAAATCTATTAGGTGTGTAAAAGTAGACAAAGATACCGTTTTCATGTAAATACAAAGATGGATAAAATTGGAATTCAAATAATGGAATTAAATTTAATATTAATTAATATACCCTATCAAGAACAGTTTCATTGGTTTTCAAAATAAATTCATGTTTATTGATTATCAAATATTACGAAAATCATTTATAATTAGCTGAAATTATTTCTTTCATTCGAAAAATATTGTGTCCGCAGTCTCAATATTAACCCACCCCAAGGATAAGCGCTCACAAAACCTTAAGACGAATGAAATTTATATTCAATAGCGATGAACATTAATGCAATAAATTTCACATTCAATTGATCCAATAAAATCCAAAAACGAATAAGTTACTCGCAATCCCCAGTTAACAGGTTAAAAGTGGAAGAATATTTTGTAACAAAGAAATTACGTTATTTCATTAAAACTCGAAAAGAAACTTGAGAAAGGGTCGTTTAGCCTATGGATCAATGTATAGATCACAGTATCAAAGGGAGATTAATTTAAATCAGCCCAGTGGTATCATAAATAACGGGTGTAATCGAGTTACGAACTCCGCCCCTGTACATAATGCCGAGCACTTATCTCATTTTCACGGTGCCTTATCATTTAGCCAAGCAGTGTATCAGCGCGCCACCAAAGCTCCTCTAATTCCAATTTCGTGGCTCGTTTCAATCCCTTCCGATTCCGTGAGCATCAGCCGTATCTCCACTTCTTGCCATCCCTCATCATCCCCCGTCGCGATTTAACGCGACAACTTCCACCAAGTTTTTCCATTTCGAAAGATTTCCTGTGCCGCCCTCCCCGTTCTCTCTCTGCTCTTCCTACATCCGGTCGCGACGCTGAGGTGCATATCGATCCGTCTTCCTTTCGCCGTCACCCTTTCCGCGAGTCGGAACTGACGCGCTCCCTCTTTTTTCATACATAGAACGATTCATAGGAAACGGTCACGAAGTGACACTCCTATTTTTAGCAAGCTTTCACTCCATAACAGAGTTTCGCCCTTTCAAGTACAACTTAGAACTACATCGTTGATAATAATTCACTGGAAAAGAGATTATACTGAATGATTAAATTTATAAATTCAATTTGACTATTAAATTTATATCTGAAAATATTATTACTAAATACTAAATTATTAAATAATTAAATAATAGTGCAATTATATATAATTACATTGAAGTGTAAAAATTGATAAGAGAAAAATAATATTTAATTTAAACTTTAAGGAATTGAATAATATATCTACATTTTTTAGATTCCCAGGAAGTGTTGTTAAAAGTCTATCATTTCAAACGGTGATAAGAATTACCGAATGAAATGTAATTTCATACATGATAGATAAATGTAAGCTATTTTATTATTTCTGTATAGATGTATTTAACCCATAATCGGCTGTTCTGAATCACCCTATACAGCTGCTACCATCTAGCATTCGCCCCGATGTCAACGCCGCTGCTGTTGCGTCGCAAACGCCAACATGAGCTTCTAATTAAGACTGTTACTAGTTTCCGTTGAAACATTCTTCAAAGGAACCGCGACACGGATTGTGTGAACGTTACTAGGCAAAATCCATTGAGAACTATTGTAACGACAGCATCGTAATGAAAATTAAGCTTCACAAGAACAAACGTTACGGTTGTAACTGTGATCTTATGATTATTTGTGCAAGAGAATTTGAAAATACTAGTTGGAAATTAAATGAGAATTTTATATGGGTAAACAGGAAAATTTTCCTGTAATGGAAAATTCCTTTCATAGAATGAATAAGCAGTGTTTCTTTAGTTAAAAAGCCGCATGCGGGTAGTACAATATTTAACTAAGAATATCAAATATTTCAATCGTTCATGTAAATAGAATTG